ACAAAGCCGCTGCACCCAGAAACTCCACCACCGATCAGTTTCAGTTTTCTATTTTTTTTTTTTACCAACCAAAGCTCCTAACATATTTTTTACAGGGATATGTGTAAAGCCGATCAAAAATAGCTAGGCCGAGGTAAATTGCTGCCCCGAGCGGCAAGGCCATCATCAGAGCACAGCGACACTGTCATGCCGGAATCTCGAAATTGGCCATAAGAGATTTTTAACACTATTTTAGATTTTTAGGATATTTTTTAGGTACATGAAGCGTGTTTAATCTCCACAGAAAAATTTAAGAAATTCGAGGATTGCTAGAAGGCAAATAGAAAGTACGATGTTTCATATACCAATTCGGATAAGAATCCCTCACCCTATTCCCTGTTATAGAATTAAATCTTAATAATTAATAATATGGTATTATGTGGAATTTAAAATTTTTTGGGAATAATTACAGATCGCTAATGGAGCCGGAACCGGTTAGTTGTTTACTTGTCTTGTTTAACTGATTACTTGCTCGTACAACTTTAAATATATTACAATATATTGAAATAGTTAAATGATTCAGTTATATTTTCTTGATACATATGTCACTTATTTTACGTGATTTACAGTTGATTGTGAAATATGAAATTAATATATAGATGAAAAATTGCTTAATGATGTGAATTAATAAATGGTTGTCTTATTGAATATCCTGAAAGATGGTAGACGGACTGTGTACATAGAAAATCTTATTTTGAACGTCACCTCATACCAGACGGGGTATCGAGGGATGACATTTTTGTCACTTATACCGGACAGGGTATGGGGACAGTCCGGTTCACCCTCATACTGGATGGGGTATCGAGAGATGACATTTTGGCACTCATACTGGATGGGGTATGGGGACGAACGAATAATTGATAAGTTTAAATATTGGTTTCATGCGTAGGAGATCATAATGTCATTTAAGTTATTGTCTTTTTAGGTTGATTTTGGAAATCTCATAATGGTAAGTACGCAGTAAATGATTTTTCTTATGATAAATGAGCTTACTTAATAGCTTCATTAGTTGTTTTATATTTTTTTTACCAACCTTCATTTTTCGTATTAGTGAGTAGTGTGATATTCTCATTGGGTTAGTGTAACTCACCCCTATTAACTATTTCATATCAAAAAGATCAAGACTCAAATCCTGATCAGCAGGAGAGTTGTGAGTAAGTGTCTCCTATATCCCATCAAGAGTTACTAGAGGTTAACCTTCCCACAATATTTATTTGCTATTTTCATATGTTTATTTCATTTTTTTATGCACCGCTATAAAAGAGACATTTTCGTAACCCTATTGGGCATTCAAATTTATATATAAGAAATATAAATCCTAATGTTATTATATGCTTCCGCATTAAATTTATAAATTTATTTTTCTCCGAGTTTCGGGTCGTTTTATCTAATACCACTGTTAAAAAATTAAAACTAACCTTAATGCATAAACAATATGATAAGATGTTTTTTTTTTTCTGTCTACGATCCTTAATTATTGATGTCTTTTGTTTTCTCTCGGATACTACTGGGGGTAATCTTCACACCCCAAAATCCAAGTTTACTTATGGTTTAACTCAACGTGTGTGAGAGAATGATAATATATTTTTCTCTTACTTATATACTCACTAAAAGTCATATCTTTTTTATAATAAGGATTTCTTTATTATAGACTCATGAAAAATCGTGTTTTTTTACAATAGGTATTGTGGATGTTTTTAATTTTATATAATACACTCAATACAATTAAATAAGATTATAAAAATATTAAGAACAAATAAAGTTATAATGAGATTATAATAATGTGACTTAAATATTTCGCTTATAAAAATTTGATTTAAATATAATTAATTCAAATAAAATAGTACATAATATATCATTCTTGAGAAAATATTTAATCTCATTAAACATTAGTATATTATGATATATATATATAGTATGTGATCTACTTGTTACAAAAAAATAAATCATTAGTATATCAAACAAGATTATTAGTTTAGTTTTATTTGAAACATAAGAGTTATTATAACTAAGAAATAATATATAGTATAATGTGTAATATATTTGAGTCTAATTAACAATTGCCTTTATAACTAGTTAAGTTTTGCTAGAAATAGATATGGTTGTAGCAAAAGTTTTACTTGTCAGCTCTGAAGTGTTTCATTCTTACATGCTAATGAAAACAAAGCTTCCACATAAAAAAAAAGATTATTTAACATTGAAATGATATATTTTTTAAGGTGTTATCATCTATATTAATTAAAATTTAAAATATAAAATTTAAATTTCTGATTATACTATAAATTTATAGTCTAAAAAATAAAAAAAGTTTTTTTAGAAATATATTTTTGTTAGGTAGATATATTAAGAGAGAAGATTATATATACGCGGTTTATTTATTTATTTGTTTATTATTTTCCTTCTTTTCCTATATATTGCTTCCACCGTTTATTTTGATCCGGGTTCTCTCGGAAATTGGCTTCTCTGTCTAGGGTTTCCATAGAAACATCTCTTGTGATCAATCCTTTTCATTCCCAGTATAGTCATCTTCTTACTAAGCAATCCTTTCGGTTCTCTCCCTTTTCTGTTTCCTGCTCTGTTAATTCGTGAACTTAGGGTTTCTGGAGACTGCTCTAAGTTTAGGGCTTTGTTTTGATATTACTTTTACTTCAGGCTTCGACGACTAAAAAACCAGCGGAACAATGCCTCCAAGGACCGGGAAGAGAGGAGCCGCAGCTTCAGGGCAGAAGAGGACGCCTCGGGCCACCAGAGGCACGCCCAAGGCGCAGAATAATCCGCCAGAAAAAACGGCGGAGACAGCCAAGGTCGAGGAGGCTCCTGTGGTGGCTGCTGTGGAAGAGAAAGATGATGTGAAGGTAGAGGAGGTAACGGTTGTTGAGAAGGAGGAGATAATTGAAGAGGAAACCGTTCTTGTTGACAAGGCATGTTCGGAGTCCGGAGAGAAATCGGACGTAAACGGGATGCTCCCTTTGAAAAGTAGGTTCTTTTTCCTTTTACGATTTGGATCTGATGGGCTACGGACCTGTTTCTTTTACTTGTTGGTGATGATGTTTAATAAGTTGCGGAAATTATTCCAAGCTTGTGTTTTTGGTGTTTTCTTAATCATGGTTTGAATCTCCTGTTATTGATCTCGATACTTGAATTATGCCTCCATTTCTTGTTTTCCTTTATTCATTTAGTTGGCTGTAGGTTATATCTCCTCGACTTAGAATTTGCAGAATCTGGAGAGTCTGCGTTCTAATTTGAAGCTTGGGTTTTTTTTTTGAATTAGGGTTTTTTTTTTGTTTGGGGGGGGGTTTGCTGCGTCATAGAGGAGCTTACAGACATTGTTTTCGTAAATTTATGCTTAAGGTTTACGCCTTGTCTTTTTTGTTATGGTAAATAATTGATGATCGAGAGAAGTCTTTTACTTTTTTTTTTTTTGAGATAAAAGAGAAGTATTTTACATCAGTCGCCTAGTTTAATGTCTTTCCTTGTTTAAGGGTTTTGGAATTTTGGAAATTAGTTATACTTGAATGGAATGACAATTCTCTGGTGGAATTTCAAAAAAGTTTATATTGGGAGTATTAAGTTTTGACTTTGATATGGACCATCTACTATCTTTCCCATGGCAGAAGAGGAGGAGGTAAAAGAATCTGGAGATGAATATGGGAAGGATGAGAGATTAGAATTGGATGATAATGAACCTGAATCTGAACCAAAAGAGTATTGTGGGGTCGATTATGATGAGAAGGAACCTGGGCAGGAGGATGTTCAGGAGGTTGGAGATGATGAAGAGGAGGAACCAGAGGAGGAGATCATTGGTGATGAGGAAGGTGGTGATTTGCCAGAGGTTTCTTAGCTGCTCATATTTCCGACTTGACTATGTAATCGATGAATCTTCTACTTCTACTGAATTATTTTTTTTGCATATGTTCGCTGCCTAACAAGA